ATGTGTAATGTCCCATGTCTCCCTTTTATTTTTTTTTTTGTTATCCTTCAATATACATTCAAATTATGAATATTGTATTCTGTTTGTTGGTTAATATTCAAAAAAAAAAATAAACAGATGAAAGGAAAAAAAAAATTGTAAATTACACTAAAACGAACTTTTGCTCTATCGGCAAACGGATTAAATATCCTACAAGCCAATAAAAGGAAATACACTTGTTGCAAATACAAACAATTAATTATAATTTAGATACTTAAATGAATATAGACAATACAAATAATTATCATAGTGTTTGTATATCATTCATGCATATATTTCATATATGCCCTTGTTTCTAGTATCACGCAGAATGACTAAACTCGTACCATCAGTGTAATCATAGTGCTCTCATTTACTAAAGTACCACAATGAATAATCCACGGGATTTGGTGATTGCATATGTTCAATATCTGAAAAAAAAATAAAAAGATTAAAGCAGAATGATATAATATTTCCCTTTACAATGAAATTTCTCTCCTGAAATGTGAATTACCGTTAGGCATCACACCGATTCTATGAATATTATCACAGTATTCTTCGAACTCGTTAAATGTAGCTTCTTCAAGGCTGTACAATGGGGAAAGCGTGCATTTGTTATGTATACATATATGTATATGTGCATATATGCGTGGGCATAATGGCCACACATTTACAACCTCTTTGATACTTCAAAAATGGAATTCTTAAAATTAATGGTGCATTAACAGTATTTCTTATTTTATATTATTTTATTTCATTTTTCCTTCTAATTGTTATTTTATTTTTCATTCCTTTTGTTATTCTAGGTTTTATTCTCATTTTTATTTTATTCTTCGCTTACCTATTATTGATTATACTTTGTGAAGCAATTACCAACAACAGTATCAGCAACACACCGCCCGCGGCAAAATAAGCCTGGCCTACAAAAAGAGTATATTGGTTACAAAAATGTTTGTATCATTCCTAAAATCTCATTTCTTCTTATGTACATAGCGTGCTCGTCTATTTATCATCATTTTCTACATACCTGTAAAGCTCCTTCTTGTAAAACACTTGTATAATGGATCTTCGAATTCCTTTTTCATGCAATTAACATAATCATGAGAATTAACCTCAAAATAGTTCAAACAGAAATCCGATATTGAACAACACAAATGTTTACTTCTCTCCCTAGAACAAGTGCTTGCCGACCTTCTGTGTTCTATAGATTCACAGTACATTAAAGAAATATTATTATTGCACTTGTGTATTCCAGACAGAAATATAATTCTTTCCCTTGTTGCATTGACATCTCTGTGCTCGTATTCTTCTATATTTAATTTACCATTACTTAAATTATTAAGGCTATTCACGTGATGTCTATTTGGATTTTTCGTAAAATTATATTCGTTCTTATGCTCTGTGCCTTCTGCTTTACCATTCCTGATACTGTCCTTGTGATGTCCTCTCGCACCTGTAGTTTGTTTCAAATTTGGTTCTCCATTCGGCATATCCTCATTTCTAAAATCATGCTCCTGTAAATCCTTTTCAGTTTCTTCATTTTTACTTGTTAATGTGTAAACTGTATCATCATCAGCTTTATATACACTTTCCTTTGATTCTAAACTTTCAGTTGTACTTAGCAAAGTTCCATCCTCACTGTGTCTACTGTTAGGTGCAGGAACACCATATACACTAGGAGAAA